TCAAGAACACATGGAGTAAATAAATCTTTTTAAGCTCATATTAGATCTAGAAAGAATTTACAAATGGGTTTGTACAAAGTTTCTCTCTATAGTCTAACACTCCAAATGGTTCCTTACATAAAATGAGTGTCACTCACTTCCTTATAAAGGAAAGACAACTCATTACACATATAAGTGGGTAAAGTCTCATCAAAGCATGACTTTGCACCCTAACATTCTCCCCTTCAAAGTTAGGATTGGATGCCCCGACTTTAGTTTCCAAGGAGCTAGCGCGATCAAGACCAAAACTCCCCCTCGAATTAACATCGGTCTTCAAATATGCAAACGAATATCCTAGAAACCCGCTTCGAATACCCATCATTCTCCCCATTTTATAATCAAAAAATGATTATAAAACCCATTAAGGATGAGAAACGCCCGAGAAATGAACAATACAATACTCCCCCTTGATGTGTACCAAAAATGAATCACCAAAAATATTGCACGAAAAAACAATGATGAAAAAGCCTAAAAAAGTTTCCAATTTGTGAATTTTTTTGACTTTTTGGGTGAAAGTTGTAAGATTTTTCAAAAACCGGGTAAAATTTGTCATTTTCTGAATTCTACAAGGACCCGTTGCACCCAAAACAACAAAATATGAAAAACTCTCACCCTTTTCCAAAGCTAAGTAGAAAACGTCAATTTGCACAAACTGTAGGGGCTTGAAATGCATTTTCTTCAAATTCTCAGCAAAAACAATCCTTTTTTGAAAATGGGTATGAACCACCAAATGTTCGAAACCTCAGGGACTATTTTAGAAAATTTTGCCCTTTTGTTCCCTAAATATACGAAGAGTACCCCAATTGTCGAAGTTTCAGACAATTTTCGAAGTTTGGTGAGAAGTGTCAAATATTCGAAACTTCAGTTAATTATCGAAGTGCCAAATATTCGAAAGATTAGGGGCTGATTTTGAAACTGTTTCATTTGTCTTCAAATCATACGAAACTTTTACCAAACATACGAACAGTTTATCCTTTGTCAAATTATCGAAACCAGAAGGACTATATTCGAAAATTTGCTTTTCCTTCTTTCCAATTTCATACGAAACTCAATACCCTTTGTTAGTAGATACCCGATTCTCACAGCCATGTTTTCAAAATATATTAATTTAGCAAAAGCGAACCCAACTGACGATTGCTTCCAACACAATGTCGAAAATTGTATCGAATCCCATTGAACTTTTATGCGAAAAATCCCAATTCTTTTTCACAACCAAAGCTTTATCTTTCCAAAAAAAGATTTCAAAAGCTTCGTTAACAGTTCAATATCGAAATTCATCCTTCCCGTTCTCCTTCGTATGAAATATAGATGCTTCGTGTTCTTGATTAATCAAAGCTCTTCAACCCATCCTTCGAAACAATGATCCAAACTCCAAACTTTCAATCATCACAACCTTCGAAACACAGTTCACTTGAAAATCCAAAATCGACATTCAATATCTTTAACAACGAAATCCTTTGTCCATTTTCAAAAATCAAAATCTATTCGAACCCCAATAACGAACTTCCAAACAAACATATCATTCAAATCGAATTTAACTATCAACTCCCTGAACCCAAAACAATTCGACTGTAAAATTAACATACCAACATCAAACCTTCGTACATCAATCCTTCACCATTGATTTTGACTTCAAAAATTCAACCAAATCAACAAAATCAATCTTGTTAACGAACACTTTATCAAAATCGAATCCAAAATTTAGTACTATTAACTCTAATCAAATCCAATCTTGATTCGACCTCATGTCAAGAGAAAATGATATGAAGAACGTGTAACCTAATCAACTATCGATGTCCAAAAATACTAAAGTGAAAATCAGTCAAAGACTTAAATCGAAGAGTGAAATCATCAAACGATTTCAAACAGTATTCAATAATCGATCAATTGTAAAATTGACTCCAACTATGTTGATTCGAAACCATCTCCTTCGAACATCGACTGTTAATCCCAAATCCAAAATCAATTTTGACTCGAATCCTACCATAACCACTGTCGATATCCAAAGAAAAACTTACAAACATAATCGATTCGAAACTCGAACTCAATTTATCATCGATTACAATGAACAATTTTTTTTGACTTTTATGTATGACCCCAATGAATACATACGAATAAGAACAACTCTTCATATCTGATTAACACCAATTGATCTTGGATCAAATCAAATATGAATGGGCTTAAATGAACAGTATTGTATTTACGATTGGGCTTACGAATTGATTACTACCAAACTGTCATTGAATTTAAGCTTTATAATTAATGGATTTGAAAATTGAATCAAATTGATTTATGGGATCGATAAGAAATTGGATATGTACACTAACATTCGCTTTTAGGAAAATGATTTTAATTTTGAAGTTTGATCTAAAAAAATTAATTGGATCTTCAAGGGGTTTGAAACGAAGTTGATCCAATTGAGTCAAAACGATCAAGAATTAAAAACGCAACGCACGAATCGAAATCATAGACGTTTTGGAATCCATTTGAGAATTTGTGATACCTTTTTAACGAATCAAGTTCCATTTTCAACGAACGAATCAAATTTGGAAAATCTTGGTTTTTTTTTCGGAATGAGAAAATTTCCAATTTGAACATTGTACCACCCACTTTGCGTGTTGTAGAACTCGTTCTTCGTGTTCTTCAACGATTCAAGAACATCTTCATAAAAACCACCAACACTATTGGGTTTTGACTTTAAATTCAATTCAACCTTTGGAGATTGTTGCTTTGGAACCCATATTTGCTTCACGGATTTAGACTTCACAACATATGACGATTTTTGTGAGGAAACCCATTTGTTTTTCCATTTAATCTTCTTATTCTTTTTCTTTCTTATCTTTTTGCATCTTGAAGATTAGACTTCATGAACAAACCCACTTTCCACAACTTGAACATTTTGAGTTTGAATCAAATCTTTTGGAGTTTGATGTTTGTGAATTTCTTGAACCACCTGCTTCTGATAAGGATTCATTCCTTCAAACGAATCACAAGAACACAAAATATCATCGGTTTGAACTCCAATTGAGAAAAAAACTTTTTCTTCATGAGAATCAACTTGAACTCCTTTTTCTTGAACATCAAGAACATCACATTGACCTCCATTATCAAGAACTTCTACAAACTTAAGAGCACGAAGATCATTTGGGTCTTCAGTAAGAGAAACATATTTCTTATTGAACAAATATTTTTCTTCTCCATTATTATCACTACTACAAGTTGACATGGACCATGTAATATCAACCAACCATTTGATCTCACAAAGTGGTTGAAATATCAAGCTTCCATGAACATCCTTCAGACCTCCATTAGAAACCATAGTTTCCCAATATATCAACTTGTTTAACACCAATCCATAATATTGATCTTTATTGACTTTGCATTTGATATCTTTAATAGTCATAATCTAAGAATTGTAAGGCATATTCATAATGATCACAAAAACTTGAAGTTTTCTAGAGAGAGGAAGTGATTTCGAATGGGTTTTCTAGAGAGAGAATGTGATACAAACAAGTATGAGAGAGAGAGAGAGAGAAAGTCGAATTATGGATCAAATAAAGGAAAAATTCAATTTCTAGAACACAAAACACTCTCTAAACACGAAGATCAATAAGAACATGAAGAATCACCAAATCCAGATCGCCATCAAGGATCAATTCTTGATCCAATCAAGAACACCCGCTCTGATACCAATGGATGTGGTGTTGATTAAGATGGCATGTGCGGAATTAGAAAGATCTAGTGAATCATCATGTCAAATCAAGAACACATGGAGTAAATAAATTTTTTTAAGCTCATGTTAGATCTAGAAAGAATATACAAATAGGTTTGTACAAAGTTTCTCTCTCTAGTCTAACACTCCAAATGGTTTATTACGTAAAATGAGTGCCACTCACTTCCTTATAAAGGAAAGACAACTCATTACACATACAAGTGGGTAAAGCCTCATCCAAGTGTGACTTTGCACCCTAACACACGTATTCCTTAGCGTTGCACATGGGACCAATCTGCCAACTTATTCCACCAAGGGCCAAACTTGCCAACACTTCAAATTGCCATAACTTCTCATTATAAATCTGTTTCCAACGAACTTTATATCTACAGAAAGGTGTCGAGAAGCCCTACACTTCTATCAACTCAGCTCCGCCTAAGAACTTTCTTAATAAAAACCCAAAATTCCTAAGGACTAAATTATCAAATTATGATTATACCCTTGGCCTCCGAAACACAAACGAACACCCGTATCATTTAGACTATAACACCCACGTCAAAAAACGGACAAATCCTTTCTTCCCCAAGGCCCAAAGCCTTATGATGACTGATGACCGGGCCGTGGCCCCGAATAGTAAAACTATTCGAAACCGAGCGTTACACTTTCTTTGACGACATATAGTGGCGAATTGCTTCCTTACCAATTAGGTTTGGTGATTTGAGTTTATACTCGACATTGGAGATTACCTCATATGCTTTTGTTGCCTCAAGTGCCCAATCTTGGGTATTACAAGACTACATCTTATGGGATAACAACATATGCGGTATGGATTCTGGTTATGCATGTGCCTTGGCTTTTCTTCATAACAAGCTTCTGGACATTAACCTTAATAGTTTTACTACTAAGGATACCACCCCCCCAATCCCATAATACACCGACAAGTACCATTTTTAGTAAAATTTTCTAAGATATGGAAGTGCATTTCAACATGACGACTCACCAGAAAGCTGTTTTCTAGTGTTTATGTGCACCCCATGCTCAATATTTTATTCTAGCTATCCATATAGATGGGCTTGGCCAACATATGTCTCATATGGAGTATTATCGTACTATCCTCAAATATCGACTCATGATCCCAATATTCCTAGCTGACAAGATCTGTTTGGTGTGCTGTAAGGCATGTTTGGACTCATTTGGAGAGTATGCAGTTCATTGTAAACAACTCTTGGGGTTCAAATACAATCACAATATGGTTAGGGATGCTATGTTAGCGTGCCAAGGTTTTTGCCAAAAAAGAGACACTTGTAAATTTCTTAACTGACCTGACAGAAGGAATGTCAACCCTTAGACTGACTGATATTTTGATCTTTGGATGGGTTGGAGGGAAACACACATATGTGGACCTTACAGGGGTATCCTCTCTCGTTGGCTTGATGGTTGGGTTTTCATGGCGGGACAAGCTGCTTTAAAAGCTGCTACATGCAACATCACCAAACATGAGAAATCATGCATGGAAAATCAACAAGTGTTCATATCATTTGTATTTGATACGTTTGGTTTCTTCATATCGGATGTGGTGAAGCTTCTTAGTAGAGTACAACGGATTATGTATAACAATGTTATATCTATAGATCTATGAATGTAGTCTTGAAAAATTAAGAGTACCATTCAAAAAGGCTTAACGACGTAACTTGTTGCACATTTGTCTTCTCATTTGTTGTACGGTGATAACTAAGTAAAAACATCAAAAGTTCATATTAAAAAGGTTAAAAATCTTGAAGCTACGTAAATTAAAACCCCAATCCATACATTGATAGGTAAACCACAACAAGACTAAACAAAAGTACATTCTATAAAAAAACTAAAAATATAAGTTACACATTTTCGGGTTTTCGAATATCCGAATTTATTTAAAATCGATATCCGAATAAGAACCCGAAAAATTGGATATCCGAAAATTTGAATATCCAAAAATTCGGATAATTTTAGTTTGAATTTTTGGATTTTCAGATCAAAATTTTCGAATACGGATATTTTTGAATACACGTGTAACTGATACTATCCGCAAAAAATTAATCTATTTCGGTATTTCTAGCTTGATAATTCCATACATTTCAAATAGCCAAGAGAATTTTAGTAGTCCAAAAAAATAAATCCAATAAAATTAATTACTAATCTAAGCCCACTACCTATTTCTTTTGTTTTTACGGTAGCTAAAAAAGACAGAAGGAGCCGAAGCCCATCCTGCCTTCTATCGAACATCAGTGATCGGACACACCAAAAGCGTTAAAGCAAACCGGCAGTCACCCTTCTCCGGCGTTCGGCGACCTCTCCGGCTCTCTCCTACCCTCCGGCGACCTCTCTCCTACCCTCATCTCGAAACAAGTAAGCAACTAGGTTTACGGTTATTTCAACTTTCAATTATTTGTTGTGAATGTGTTGAGAAATTAGCAAGCAGGTCTATTTGAAAATAGTTGAAGTTTCAATTATCTGATTCCTCTCACATTCACGTTCCAACCCTTCCTTCTCTCTCTGGCTGATTTTGACTGTTGTCAGTTTTGGCAACCAAAATTCTCATGTTAGGTTTTTTTATTTTTTTTATTTTTGATTTCAATGTGGTATTTGATGTTCTTTTCATTCATGTTAAGTATAATCAGTGCCTTCTTTCACTTGGATGTAATTGTTCGTTGGTCTTCTAATCAGAATCAGAGTTACCAACACATACCTTGAAACGGCCAGGGCTTATATTACAGAATAAAAAAATAGGATTTTGAGGGTTTTGAAATGACATTTTTGATTTTTGTTTATGTAAATAAGAATTTTGTGTTCAAATATTCGTTAGAGATCATGATTGTCGGTAAATCTTGGTTGCTCTTATCTTACTACTTGTTTTGTTTTGTTTTTTTTTTTTTAATATGAATTCCTGTTTATTTTGATATGCTCATACGAGTTTGGATTTAATTCAGTATTGGTGCGTGTGTTATGTTTCAGTAAAAGATATACAAAGAAGAGTGAGATGGATGAAGAAGTGTTGGATAAAGCTGTATATTTGTATTTAAAGAAAAAGGGATTTACCCAAACTGAACAGATTTTTCAACAAGAACAGCAGAACAAGAACAAGAACTCCAGCTCATCTGTTACTGCTTCCGATGTTTCCCTTTCAGACCCAGATCTTGCTAAACAAATCCTCGCGTTTTCCCAGTACTATATTTACCATTTTACCCTCTCTTTGCATCTTCCTCAATTATCAATTAATTATCTTGTTATTATAATGCATTGTTCTAAAGGTTGGTGCTTTCAGGTCAGAAAGTATCCCAACACTATACCATGATGGATACAGCAAGTTGAGGTCATGGACTTATAGCTCACTAGATTTATACAAGGTGCCCATATAATCTTATACTCAATGTCATATCTTCTTTTTGTTTTATAATTTTATCATATGCTCATTACTTCATTTATTATATCTTAATTTAATGTTTTTAACAATGCAGCATGAGTTGCTTCGTGTTCTCTACCCAGTATTTATCCACTGTTTCATGGATCTCATAGCAAAAGGCCATCTTCAAGAAGGTATACACATAATCACACACATATACATATCTTGAATTTAGTTATTTACAACATATGCCACTCGTTAGTTTAATTGTCATACTTGTTTATTTAAAAAAATGGGTTTTCAGCTCGAGCATTCTTCAATACCTTTCGTGAAGATCATGAGATGATGCATTCACGTGATCTCACAAAATTAGAAGGTGTTCTTTCCCCATCTCATTTAGAGGTTAATTACCAAAACACCCTAAACTTATAAACTTTATTTCACTATATTGAAATAAACTCTTGTAAGTATCCAGGAAATGGAGTTTGCTCACACCCTAAGGCAGAGCAAAGTGAATATAAAGATATGCCAGGTTTACCTTTTAATCCTTATATTTATAAATTTAATCAATATTATATGATAATAAATTAATAATGATAGCCTTCTTTTATTTTTCTTTGTAGTATTCTTATGATCTTCTTCTGCAATATCTACACAAGACACAATCCATTACAATGCTTGGTATTATCAATGAGCATATTGACTTCCAAGGTAAGTTTTTATTACAATCTATTATATACATTATCATGTAAAAAAATGTTAACTTTTATTTGGACTTTTTATTTTTTTTACAGTTTCTCCTGGACAACCTAGCTCAATTTCTGATGATGCTGAAGCCTTTTCACTTGTTGGAAGTGGACAGGATGCTGCTAATTTAATAAATCAGAAAGAAATACATTGGGGGGTTAGTAAAGTAAAAAACTAAATATCTCATTATTTTCACATTGTATGTAAGAAACTAAAAGTTTTAATTTTAAATTTTTTATAGTTGCTTGAAGATTCTTTAGAAGATCGGCTTGATAAAGCAGGTGGGTTGCTCTCAGATTCAGAAAAGACAGAAGGAGAAGGTAAAGAAGGAGAGTTAGATGAGAATAAGGTATTTTTAGTTATGTATTTATTTATTTTAATACACTTTTACTGTTTATGTTGTTTATTTTTCTGTGTTTATTTTTCAGAAAAAATCAGCAGATGGTGGAAAGCAAGGTGGGCCCCTCAAGAAGCTAAAGAAGGACAAGGTTGTTGGTGGGGCAGGGAAAGCTGCCCGAGGGGAGGGTGACAAGTCAACTGCTGCCCCCACGAGTCAAACCCGAGCTTACTTTGCCAACAATGTATGTTACATATTTTTTTTTTTTTTTTTCAACATTTGTTTTATGTATTTATTTATTTATTTTTAATCTCAGATCAACAGATGTAGAACATTCTATTCTTGAAGACCTTAGAAACCGTGTACAATTGAACAATTCCACACTTCCTTCAGTTAGTTTCTACACATTCATTAATACACATAACGGGTATTTGTATTTCCCCTTTTACTTTCGTGTCTTGTTTTTCTTTATCTTCTATTTATATTACTATTTGTTTTCTTCGTCTGTTTCAGATTAAATTGTTCATCAATATCCCACGATGGATCATTAGTGGCTGGAGGATTCTCAGATTCATCACTCAAGGTCTTTTTCCTTAATTTTATTTCTTAATATTCTAATACAAAATTACAAATCCAGTTTATATTATAATCTTATTAATATCGGGTAGGTGTGGGACATGGCAAAACTTGGGCGGATGGGGAGTTGTAAGTCATCCAAATTAATTTACTTCAACTAACTTTTTAAATAAAGGTAAAAAAAATGATTAAATAATACTTTACGGTTTTCAGCTGGTGAAAATGATTCGGATGGATCAAATGGTGGAAAAAGGTCTTACACTTTGTATCAGGGGCATTCTGGTCCGGTTTATTCAGCTTCATTTAGTCCTTTTGGGGATTTTCTGTTATCATCATCGTCAGATTCAACAAGTATGTTTTTTTTTTTTTTTTTTTTAATTAATGAAAACTATTTCATGTTTCCATGTTGTAGAGTAGATTTATGAATATTTAGTGCAGTTCGATTATGGAGCACAAAGTTGAATGCAAATGTTGTGTGCTACAAGGGTCACAATTACCCTGTATGGGATGTTCAGGTAGAATTTGAATGGAATAATATTAAATGAAATTTACGTGGTAATTCTTTTTTACTCAATTATTGTATATGCAGTTTAGTCCACTTGGACACTATTTTGCAAGTGCATCTCATGATAGAACAGCTAGGATTTGGTCAATGGATAGAATTCAGCCTCTAAGAATACTTGCAGGACATTTATCTGATGTTGATGTCAGTTCTATCCCTCTCTCTCTCTCTCTCTCTCTCATGTGTTATGTTTTTTTTTTTTTCTAATTATAATTTTGGCAGTGTGTAGAATGGCATATGAACTGCAATTACGTTGCAACGGGATCAAGTGACAAAACAGTTCGTTTATGGGACGTACAAAGTGGTGAATGCATACGGATTTTCATTGGTCATAGGAGTATGATATTATCATTAGCCATGTCACCTGATGGTAGATACATGGCATCTGGTGATGAAGATGGAAGTATAATGATGTGGGATGTTTCCAATGGTCGATGTGTCACTCCTCTTGTGGGCCATACTTCATGTGTCTGGTCTCTTGCTTTCAGGTACCGAACCCTAACTCATTCATCACATCACACAACACCTTCTACCTGTACTCGTACATTCATCACACCTGCTTTTGACAAATATATATATATATATATATATATATATATATATATATATATATATATGTTTCAGTTGTGAGGGATCCCTTCTTGCATCTGGTTCCGCTGATTCAACTGTTAAATTATGGGACGTTAACACAAGCGCAAAAACGCCGAAAAACGAAGACAAGTAATTGCTTTTTTATTTTTTCTTTTTTTAATATGAATTTTAATATAGTTTAACTTAATCCATGTGTTCTTTGATTTGTTAGTAAAAGTGGAAATACAAATAGACTGAGATCACTCAAGACTCTACCTACCAAATCCACCCCGGTTTATGCTTTACGGGTAAACACTCAACTTTATCAAAATAGCAACCTACTTTCATCTATTTATGTATTATTAGTTTTCATTTCTTTTTGTTACAACATTACTTACATATTTTTCTTTTTAAGGCAAATATATATATATATATATATATATATATATATATATATATATATATATATATATACACACACACACACACACACACACACTCAATGATAAAAACAAATGAAACTACAATGCTCTATTTCTTGTATTTATTCTTGCATATGAAAATTTGTAATGATGACATTTTTTTTTTTGACAGTTTTCGCGAAGGAATCTTCTTTTTGCTGCTGGGGCTCTTTCTACAAATGTGTAAAATTGGCATATATCTTAAAAAGACGGGGTGGGGCGTGTTTTTTTTGTTTTTTTGTTTTTTTTTTTTTTTTTTTTTTTTTTTTTGCTTTTATGTAGTTGCGTTGACTTATTTTTATCTTGTAGTTTATTTAGTTGAATCATTTGAATCTCTAGTGAAGCAAAATAGCAAATGCAGTTAATTTTGTTTTTGTTTTTTTTATTTGTTTGTTAATATTTATTTTAAAGCATGTTTCGTTTCAGTTTTTAACTAAATCTGAAACCGAATTGAAAATTTTTGTGTATGACTTTGTAGAAAGGAAAGCGTTAGTTTTTTTTTATTAGGTAATGCTAACATTCAACATAAAACAATAAGTTTACTAAAAAATAATGGTAGACGTTGTAAATGCATAAATGCATGTTTATTATGTTGACCAAATTGCAAAAATGGTTCCAGCGGTATCTGTTTTTTTTGGTGTTTTAGTTCAAATAATAATTTTTTTTGGTTTTGTGGTCTTTTTTGACTAGTTTGTATGTAAAAATAATAATTTTTGAAATGACAATAATACTCTTGGGGTATTTATTTAGGATTTTTTTATTATTTTTTTTCATTTCTTTTTAAATCTAATACAAATTTATTTATTTTAACAATTAATAAAAGAGTGATTGCAAATTTAGTCAAAAATGTTAATTACTTTGTGGAAAATAGCAGAAAAAAAAAAAAAAAACCAAAATTGCATTTCTAGTAACGTCCGGTTCCTGGTATGTATTTAATTCATAATTTATTTGTTTTTGTATAGAAACTCGACGAGCTTGAGGCCCCAAACTCATCGAGTAGAGATGGATTCGGACGCAGGTTATGAAGTCTACTCGACGAGTAGGACTGACATAATGAAATCCTAATTTTTAGGATTTTGCACCTTATTTAAACATTTAAACATCTAAACCCCCTAGCCACGAAACCTTAATTCACTTTTGAGAGTTTTGAACCACCTTTGTGCATTCTTTGTGATTTTGAAGAAGAAGATACTTGAAGAAGGAGCAAAGACATGTAGGAGAAGAGTAGATCCAAAAGTTGAGTTTCATTTCTGGTTCATCTGAAGAAGAAGATACTTGAAGAGCCGCCACCGTTAAAGATTAATTTTGGGCCTATTGAGCCATGTTTGGGTGGAAACCCTAATTAGGGTTTAGAAAACCCTAATTGTGAGTATTTGAGCCTTAGACTTATTAGGACCCACCTTTGGGCCATTGGGATTGGATTGTGTATTAAGCCCAAATATTCCATATCATTTATCTAGTAGAGTAAAGGACTTAATGGATTAATGTAACGCCCGTAGATCCGGGCTAGTCAATTTAGAGACAATAAGCATCAAAAGTGACTTTTTGATAAAAGATTATTTAGAATGAATAATCTTAATTAGGTTGTAGTGGTCGTGACAAGGATTCCGGATACATAAAGAATGCCGAAATCCAATTTATAACGAAGAAGTTATGACCTGTCGAAGTTTCATGACAGAACCGGTACGAAACTGCATGACGTAAATAGTGAATTTACGATAGAGTGATATTTAGCCTTAGTGATCTAAACAAAAGTCGTAGAATACGTTAAACCGAGAGCATGCATAAAAAGAACGTCTAAATCTGACTTCGTATGAGAAAGTTATGATTTTTCAAAGTTTCGACTTAGCGGAATGCAGCCCAAAGTTCGAATATGAGATCGAGTGATTTCTAGCCGAAACAATCTAAATGAGAATTGAAGATCTGGTCGATAATAATACAATAGTTAAAAGACAAATGAAAACGGACGTCGGATAAAGGAGTTAAGAATTTTTAACATACTTTTCCTGTCCTGGCCTGTTAAAAATATAATAATAAAAATAAAGTCAAAATTAGCCAACGAAGTTTAAATGAAAGTTGTAGAGCATAGTCTCACCTACGCGTGGGTATAAAGAACATAAAAAACAGAGCTCGTATGCGAAAGATACGAATTTTAGAAGTTTGGAAATGCGGAGTACGCCCAGCGTACTCATGGTTCATGGTCTGGGTTGGGCCACGTCGCACTACTCCACCACTCAAGTGTCTTGGGTCTGAAGCCATAACGCATCCGATCCAATCCACCTAGTATGCCCAGTGTACATGTCGACGAAGAAGTACACACCGCATACTCTGAAGTTACACCTAACGTAAATCAGGGGTTCAGCCCCTATAAATAGAAAGTAAGACCTTCGGGTTTTATTGCTAATTTCCACTTCTTCACCCCTTTTTCTTTCTTCTACTTTAAGAGAAATACCCCCTAAGCCCCAATATCATGTCGACTCCCGAATCAAGTCCCGACGCTCCGAAGATCCCGAGAAGAAAAGAGTTTTCGAGCCGAAGCTCTGCCCGCGAGAAACCCGGTTTGTAAAAATATCCCGGTTTCATCAAAGAATACTACTTGAAGAGCCGTAGTGCTATCCGGTAATCGTCTTATCAAGTGAGTGTATAGTTACTTTCATAAAAACGATTTTAATACAAGTATTGGTTGAATGTATTACATCTATGCTATGAATAAGTGAGTAGTCACTTTCTTCTAACACATAAATATAAAGTACTTGCTATGAAAAACGTGCTATGTGTTTATGTATTGTTGTTTATTTGAGATGAGTGTGGAATGGATATTTTATATAGTTTTTAAATGAGTTAAACTGTATATGTATTTTAAATCTACAAATATGTTAGGTAGAACATGGGTAGATGAGATAGTTGGTATGTGATAAAAGATGAGTGGGATAATGAGATAAAAGGTGATATAGATATTGAGGTAAGGGTGACAGGTGAAAAATGAGTGAAACCTTTACCCAAGCGATGACCCCCATCATTCAGCAGAGTATGGATGACAACCACGGACTATTCTAGAGAGTCTAGTGGAACACTAGCATGCTCGCAACTTGTAGGTGTTGTGAACTTGATGTTCACCGGTGCACTCTAAAAACCCATTGACACGTATTTCGAGAGGGGTCTTGAAAATGATATTGTCAATAAACGAGATAAATTTGTTATTAATCTGGGAGTATGGATTAAGACATAGTTAATTGTCCCTAATCCGGGAGTATAGATTGGGCACAGTTTTAGATCCGGGAGTATGGATCAAATCAAGAGGTTAGTTTTAGATCCGTGAGTAGGGATTAGGTAAAAAGGAAAATTTTGATACGAGAGTTTAGATTGTGTCATTGTGAGAATCGATGGGGTGGGATAAGAGTTGTTTTATATGGTTAAATTATATAAGTTTGTGAGTTCTAATATATATATATATATATATATATATATATATATATATATATATATATATATATATACATATACACATATATGATATAACATTATGGGTTGAAAACCCTATATGCTCACCATGCTCCCAAGCCTGACCCACCCAGTTTCCTTTGAATTACAGGTAGTGGCACAAGAGCATAAGTTGGTTGACACGACGAGAGATTTTGGATTATAGACCAGTAGTTATAAATAATTTTTGTAAGGTCTATTTTATACTGTTCATGTTTTGGGTCTGTATTGAAACATGACATCCCGAGATTTTGTTATTTAATGAAAATACATTTCTTTAAAGAAATGTTTTGATAAATTCTGATCACATTTTGTTTTGGGAACAAATTCCGCAACAGTTTTCTTTAAACGATTACTCTAATTTTAAAACAAAGCATAAACAAATCGGTCATTTCTGACCATGAAATTGGGGATGTCACAGATTAAGTCCTTAATGGGTTAAGTGAGAAACACTTAACCCTAATTGTCATTTTATGTAAAACCCTAATTTCAGTTGGACTTTGAGTTGGGCCTTTCTATTGGGCCTAGGTGATTAGGATAATAATGGACCATCCAAGAGCAAGCAAACGTACTAGAATAATTTAATGGACTTAGGGTAAGGCCCATATGAGGGTTTGGGCCCAATTTAGAAAATTGGGCTATAGTTTGGACCTTGATGGTTATATGATATTGAGCCATTAGAATGCCAAATGTTGGACTGGACTAAATGGTTGGGCATTTGATCAAGACCATGTAGACACTTGGGCCTAATTAGGAAAAGTGGGCCATAAATGGGCCATAGTTGGGCCTTGGTCCATTATTAGAATTTTGGGCCTTTTTATTGGGCCTTGAGCTTAAATGGGGTAAAGCAGTCTTTTACCCCAGGCATTGACTTATGGGTATATGTGTTGGAATCCAATTATTGATTAGGTGTTATTTTGATGATTGATAGATTCGGGAATCTATCATCCAGTAGCTAGGGTTTTGTCAGTAGGACTTCAACAGTGAGAGGTGATTCTTTCTCCAGTAGGAGCGGGTCTAAGGCACCAATGCTGACCTATTTAAGTAGTAGAGTATGTTGGGGTTAGACCGATGCAGTTTATATGTTTCCGGACATCGGTCCAATGTCGGGGCCGTCCCTAGAAGTAGTTATGTATGCTTGATGTCTTTGTGATTCATGCATGTTTATGTGTTATGTGTTATATGTTTCGGGCTTTGGTCCGATGTCGGGCAAGCCCGATGCAGTATATGTGATTAGGCTAAGGCATCATGAATCAGGCAACTCTAGCCCTAATTTTCTGAAATACCCAGCCTATCCTCTAGCATGCATGTGACATCCCCAAAATCACGGCCAGAAAAGACCGATTTTGTTTATGCTTTATAAAAATCAGAGTACTTCATTTTATAAAAAGGTTGCGGAATTTGTTCCCTGTAAAACATGGTAAATACGTTATTAAAACATTTTCGAAGAAACGTATTTATTTCATTTTAAAACATTTGGGATGTCATCGTTAATACAGGAACATAAGCATAAACAGAACTTACAATTATTCACACTAGTGGTCTACATCTCTTTAAATCTGTCAGTGTAATGTCACTTCATATCAACACCTGTGGTATAAATAAACTGAGTGGGTCAGGTTGGGAAACCTGGTGAGCACATAGGGATTTCAATCCCACAATGTTATACCATATATATAGTTTAAAATTCACAAAATATACAATTTCACCATACATATATATAAACAACTCTTATCCCACCCCGTCGATCCTCGCAACGAGGCTATCCATACTCTCGGACCTAAGATTAGTCGTTTTACCTACTCCATACTCTCGGATCAGAAATGAACGAATTTACCAAATCCATACTCTCGGACTAGGGACGAATGACTAATCCATACTCTCGGATTAAAGATGAATGATTATGCCTAATCCATACTCTCAGACTAGGGACAATAGCTAATCCATACTCTCGGATTAACGACGAATGATTATGCCTAATCCATATTCTCGGTCTAGGGACAATGACTATGTCTAATCCATACTCCCGGATAAGTGACATATACTAACTTCTATTCTCTGAGTTTTACTCACTTGTACTCGTAAGAATATACTAC